TTTGTCACCACCTGTAACAGATAGACAGCACATTCTAGGATTAGTTTGTCACCACATGTAACAGATAGACAGTACATTCTAGGATTAGTTTGTCACCACCTGTAACAGATAGACAGTACATTCTAGGATTCGTTTGTCACCACCTGTAACAGATAGACAGTACATTCTAGGATTCGTTTGTCACCACCTGTAACAGATAGACAGCACATTCTAGGATTAGTTTGTCACCACATGTAACAGATAGACAGCACATTCTAGGATTAGTTTGTCACCACCTGTAACAGATAGACAGTACATTCTAGGATTCGTTTGTCACCACCTGTAACAAATAAACAGCACATTCTAGGATTAGTTTGTCACCACATGTAACAGATAGACAGCACATTCTAGGATTAGTTTGTCACCACATGTAACAGCTAGACAGCACATTCTAGGATTAGTTTGTCACCACATGTAACAGATAGACAGCCCATTCTAGGGTTAGTTTGTCACCACATGTAACAGATAGTACATTCTAGGATTTGTTTGTCACCACATGTAACAGATAGACAACACATTCTAGGATTAGTTTGTCACCACATGTAACAGATAGACAGTACATTCTAGGATTCGTTTGTCACCACCTGTAAATGATAGGCAACACATTCTAGGATTCGTTTGTCACCACCTGTAAAGGATAGGCAACACATTCTAGGATTCGTTTGTCACCACCTGTAAAGGATAGGCAACACACTCTAGGATTCGTTTGTCACCACCTGTAAAGGATAGGCAACACATTCTAGGATTCGTTTGTCACCACATGTAACAGATAGACAGTACATTCTAGGATTCGTTTGTCACCACCTGTAAAGGATAGGCAACAGACTTATCCACTTTTTAACCCTATTATCTTTTCCTTTTTATCTATTACTTTGTCATTCTTCTTCTGCTGCTGCTGGCACGCTGTGTTGGAGTTTACAGCTAGGGTGCCGTTAATCTACGACTGTCAGTTTAGTATACTCATCTCAGCAACGTCTTCGTTAGTCACCTTTTTCGGTTTGCAGGGATCTCGTCTCTTTCACTGTCTCTCTCACTGTCTCTTTCTCTGTCTCTCTGCCCAGCCCCCACCAAAGTCAGGAAACTCCACACGGCGCCTTTGCATCGCAGTATTGCTATTTTAGAGTTGCCATTATTTCAAATGATTCAACGCCTTTTTTCTTTATTTACTCTGCATTTTTTCACAGTACTACCCGCGTTTCATTGACCTTATTTCTGGCTGAAGGACACGATCGGGCCTGATAAGAGGGAGTCGCTCCAGTCTGCAGTGGTTATTGGTGTCAGACAAACGCCAGTGATTGTTTATCTTCTCCTAATTGTAGGAGAATGTGTTCAGCCTACACCAGGTGGTACCACTGACCAGTCAGATTAGTGCCAGCCGTATCGTTCAATTACCGGCCCGTATTTCCCAGATGTGTCGTTGAGAATCGATCTGTAGCCACACAGTCATCAGCTCTGGGTGACTCACTGACTGCCTGTCTGGCAAAGCAAGGAGCAAGGGAAGTTGGTAGAAGAGGGGAGGGGGAGGAAGGTGCTTTGGTAGAGGAGGGGTTGAATGGGGTAGATCTTTTGGCAGAGAAGGGGGTGAAAGGAGTAGATCCTTTGGTAGAGGAGGGGGTGTATAGGGTAGATCCTTTGGTAGAGGAGGGGGGTAAAAGGGGTAGATCCTTTGGCAGAGGAGGGGGTGTAAGGGGTAGATCGGTAGAGGAGGGATGAGGGAGAAGACGAAAGTACTTAAATACAGGCGAGATCATTTCATGTAGGCGGGGAGGAGGCTGGGTTGAGAAATAAGGCTTACAAAATGCCAGCAATGGTACAGCTGTTAAGTCAATAGTTGATCTGCAAAGTGCCGTGCTGTTACGACAATACCCAGTTACAGAGCACTTGGCCGCTATCGAGATGACACTGAAGACATATATGCAAGTGAAACGTGACTAGGGGATCCCACAACCAACAGGCACGTGCAGTATCGGGCGTTTATATGAATATCATTGTCAACGTCGGGAGGCAGCAGTGCTAAACTGACAGCGGAAATATCACTTCCTGCGACAGAGGCGACCTAAGGACATCGCCACAATAGATTCCATTACTGATGCCTGCTATGTACCAGTTAATATTCAAGTATTGTTTCTCCTTCACACACACAAATGCAAGGACTGCTGCCTCTTATGGGCTAGTTTAGCAGTCACGTATTGTTTCTTCTTGTGTGTGTGTGCGTGCGTGTGCGCGCGCGCGTGTGCTCTTGCTGAGAAAGACTCGTTGGAAAGTCACATTGGGCGGTTGCTTTATGAGTTAATTAGACACGACACAGTGTCATCAGTAGTCAGTGGTAACCACTAGTTGGATGGGCAGCTGATGTGTGACTAAACACATCATTCCTATACAGCCGTTCTTTTAGGAGCATTGTCTGTAATCTCTCTCTCTCTCTCTCTCTCTCTCTCTCTCTCTCTCTCTCTCTCTCTCTCTCTCTCTCTCTCTCTCTCTCTCTCTCTCTCTCTCTCTCTCTTTCTCTCTATTTCTCTCTCTCTCTCTCTCTCTCTCTCTCTCTCTCTCTCTCTCTCTCTCTCTCTTTCTCTATTTCTCTCTTTCTCTATTTCTCTCTCTCTCTATTTCTCTCTCTCTATTTCTCTCTCTCTCTCTCTCTCTCTCTCTCTCTCTCTCTCTCTCTCTCTCTCTCTCTCTCTCTCTCTCTCTCTCTCTCTCTCTCTCTCACTTTCTCTCAACCATAAACAACCAGAATTCATTTCGTATTCTCCCATCTTTTTCGTGGTTTTCACAACCTCCATTATTCCAACAACACCCCCCCCCCCCCCCCCCCCCATCTCGCCATCTCTCTCAACGAACACACACACGCACGCGCGCGCAAGTGTTAGAACTCTAAAAACAAATACAGAAGGATTAGGACATTGTTTTCTTCCTCTCCCCTCCCCCACCCCTCTCTCTGCCCGCTTCCCACCCCTTACTTTAGAGACAGTTTTAGCGTAATAACTGCTTTCGTTAATCAAGTGTTAATTATTTCCTTGCTGAAGTGACTGATATTGCCATCCCTTATCCTGTTTATACTGAGATGGCAAAAATCGTTTTGTTTAGTTTATGATAGTCTAAATCTGTGTGACTTTCCTTACATAAACGAACACAGCAGAGTACATTCGCTCTCAGGTATTAATTATTCCAGTACAGCGGTATCTACACACACAATCAAGTAATCGTTATTCCTGTCTACACTTTAATGAATAAAATCGGCAATGTATAGTTCCAGTTTTTCTCGATCAGTGTGTATCTTTCACCACAATGTAGAACACATCTGGTCTGAAGTGTTGCTGAAATCTGGCACCTGTATGCTATAAATCCACTGCCAGCCTGGCCTTCCCTGGTCCCTGTTAATGCCCCCCTGATATACAATGTGTCAGATTTGAGTGGACGGGGAAAACGGGATGGTTTTTGTCATATTTCACACACACTTGCGTTTTATGGGTCCAAAAACAGTATCGTCTTTTTCTTCACCTGCACCAGCTGTAAACTCGCCCCATAGTTCTGATTGTTTGCCCACTTCTAGATTTTAGTCTTGTTCCAGAACTTGAGGTTTGCATGGACATCCGTTTTACAGATCTAGCTTATTTGTATGCAGGCTGTTGGTTCCTTGCGTCTCATGCAGATGACATGTTGCTTAGAAGGAAACTCCTAATTAGTTGACTCATTCAACATGCTTGTTAGGGAAGCAGTTTACCCCTTCGTTGTGGCCCGAAACCCACACGGGGACAAAAAAACAGTATAACTGGTTTCACTAACGATGAACACATTTGGTCATCATCATCATCATCAGAGTGATCTGTCGATCATTGGACTTTTTGACTCCTAAACCGCCAATAGCATTACTGAATCAGTTCATTTGCTGACACTTTTCCCTGCCCCAACAGAAGGTTGTAAAAGTCTTCTCATTGTCTTTCTCCATTTTTGGTAACTTAAGTTGTCACATTTGTGTACTCACTAGTTTTAAATTGTCTGTAAATTCTGAACAAACAAGCAAAAAATTCCTTTGAGGCTTTAAAGGATATTGTTTTACAGTAGACTGCTGAACATTTCTTGGCCAACGGAAATCTTGTTCTTCAGCATTCAGAGGTTCATTATTCATTGCTGCAGATATCGGCACCTCAACTGATCACCGAATCTGAGTCTTAAATGTCTGTTTTCTGACTGAAATGTGGTTTTAAAATGTTGAAAGGTGGTTGTGGACCAAGCCTCAACTCTTCTTGTGGAGGAACAGGGTGTCTGTCTTTGATTGTTCTCTATCCATTAACTGCAGAAAATGCAGGTAGCTACACTACTGCCAACATAACTCTTATGGTCAAGGAGAAGCCCAATCGTCCCCCTCCCCACCACATCAAGATGGAGAAACCCTCAGTGGAGGGCCAGCCAGAATCTGTAATCTGAATTATCTGAAAAAAGGAGGTCCAGGTACAACATCAGAAAGTGACAGTCAACATAATTGGCCACATCAAGAAAACAGACCTATTGGAGAATGCTGTGACTGTTGGAGAGATTCATGAAAAGAGTAATAGGGAATGACAATGAGAGAACGTTCTTGACAACCTTTTGTCATGGCACTTTAAGACATCTTTACTCAAACTGATATATGGTGTTAGAGGTCAGAAGATGTGCTGAATCATGATCTTCTATGAAACCTGATACTGTCCATACCTAGTTTTAGAATAAAAAATAGTCTATATTCCATAAAATTGACCTTGGCCCCCAGGTCAACCTGACCTAAAATGGGTGCCAGGTGTATCTTGGGAAGTAAAGGTAACAGGCGGGATGTTGATCATATTGCCCATCACGTGTCAATATGCCTGATGCACCAAAAGCATGGAAATCGTATAATATCATTGTCTAGTATTCACAAAAATAAACACTACATTTGACATTTAGTATCCACAAAATTATAATAGTATTCTTTCTATTTTCAGATATCCCCAAGGCAGTCCTGCACCTGTTGAAGAACCCAGTGTATGCTGTTCTACTGCCAGCCATCTGTTTGGAGATTTGTATTGTAGCCGGCTTTGTGGTCTTTCTGCCCAAGTACTTGGAGTCTCAGTTCGGGACCTCCACATCCCAGGCTAACCTTCTCACAGGTAGGATGGGTTCTCTCTCTCCCGAGGGTATTAATGTCCAACACAGATTTGTCAACATTTTCAGAGTTACATCCCTTGCAGTAACATGTAATCTCTACCCATCATCTGCCTATGCTTCTCACCTATTTAGGTCATTTCATGCCCACGATCTCTTTCCAGCAACTGGATATCTTCATGAAGACGCTTCTTACAGCTAAATTTATATTGTTTGGGATTGTAGTCTTCTCCACTTGTGACATATGCTGCAGAGTTTATTTTACTGTTCCTTATTGTGATGTTGTTGATGTGATGTCTTATGTGTTTTAAAAACCCAGGTCATCTTTCTCATTTTTCACAGTTGTAATAAGTGATAAGCGAGGATTATCTTCACAGCACTCCAGATAGATCCATAGGTGCTCCATTCTCCTCAAAAGCTCCACAAGTGTGTTGATTAATTAAACATCTAAAATGTTCATTTCTTGCAGCTCTAGGTTTCATCCCCATGTCTGTCAGTCTAGACTTTAATTCATGGCATTGATGAGGCCACTGCTGTCCAGTACAGGCTCAGCCATAGCACAGTGTCTGCACAATAATCTGCATGCTTGTTGCCTCAAACACCCACATGGCCTACCACAAAAGTGACAATTTAGTCAGCCATTTGTGAAGCACGTGATGGCCTGATCCATTCGTGTTTGAAAATTTCAGACTGATTTTTTTTTTAAAGCATATTTATTGAGTCACTAAGTACGCATCTGTGTGTGAACTCTTGAGTACCCAGCCATTCTAGTGCCCTCAGCCATTCTAGTGCCCTCAGCCATTCTAGTGCCCTCAGCCATTCTAGTGCCCTTGTTACATCCACCGTTTCAATTGTAAGGCTGCAGGTTGTAACAGCAAAGGCACCATTCATCTCCTTAAAACTGTTCCCTCTTCAGCTCACTGTGAATGCGCTTTGCTTACCCCAAATTACTGATCCGTCCGTGGACACTACAGCATTTTTACACTTCATTTTGTATTAAGAAATTACAACAGGCCTGTTGGGCAGCAGACATTATACCAGACCAACTCTCAGTGGCCAGTTTCTGTGGACACTACTCATTTATTCCCTCCAGAACAAGGTGATCTGTTATTTCCACAAAACATTGTACACAGTGAGAATGTAGATTTTAGAAAGAAGATGAGCCTAGAAGTGATGGTTCTATGTTTGTTGCATTCCTCAGGTGGTATAGCTATCCCAGGAGCTGTTATAGGTATCCTCGTGGGTGGGTACATCCTGAAACGTATGGCATTGTCCCCTAAAGGTGAGCCTCATATTTTATAATCATTTATTGTTGTTTATGTTCTCCATTGCCCCCGCCTCTGTCTCTCACTTTCTAAAAAAAAAAAAAGAAAGTTTGTTCGTTGTTCATTCCTTTTCTATCCCTATTTATGAATAATGAGTTAAGAATCGTCATCTTAGTGCCCAAGTTATTTCCATAAGTGCTCCAGCTTCAACAGCAAGCACGTGGTTCCAGTTCTGATGGTACAGGTAACTGTCTTGAGTGTATGCCCATCTCACCCCACTCCTGAGCGATGAGCACTGGATAGATCTCGTGGCCACTCCTGGCTGCACCATTTTCTTCAAACCCTGATAATATGTGCCTCTTCACTCTTTGCTAACTCCCAAAGGGCCTTTACGGCATTTATCTTGTCATACGTTAATTTACCACCAAGTGGTGCAGAACTAGCCAGTCTGTCTGCCTGTTAATTTCCCAACACACCGGCATTCTCTGGAGAAAATATCAAAATGACGCTGACTACCCTGCACATCTAAAGCCATGCTTACCACTCTGCACAGAGCATACCTGTCTCCACCTTTCTGTGAGTCAGTTACAAATGTGTGAGTAGCTCATTCCCAACCCAGTGGAAGGTTGCAGTGACCGCCTCCACTTCCATTCTCAAACTAGATGCTGTCATATCATATGCCAGGCTTTGTTGCACTAAATTGCACTGATCTGTTCAACTGTAGATTCTGCAGGTCCTAATGTGATTAGCATCATACAGGAATCTAGTTGTTACAGGGACAATTCAACCCACCACTCTCTTTACCCAATATTCTCAAGGCTGCCACACTTGTACCCGCTCCTCCCTCATCCATTATTCTCAAACCTGCCACACTTTGACCCAACCCTCTTCTCACCCAATATTCTCAAGCATGCTGACATATTCTCTCGCTCTTTCTCTGATGTGTGCGTGCACATTGTCTGTCTGTCTGTCTGTCTGTCTGTCTGTCTGTCTGTCTGTCTGTCTGTCTGTCTGTCTGTCTGTCTGTCTGTCTGTCTGTCTGTCTGTCTGTCTGTCTGTCTGTCTGTCTGTCTGTCTGTCTGTCTGTCTGTCTGTCTGTCTGTCTGTCTGTCTCTCTCTCTCTCTCTCTCTCTCTCTCTCCCCCTCCCCCCTCCCCCCTTCCCTGTTCTTCTATCCTGGGGTGTATAGGCATCGGCTACATCACCCACCAGAAGGTGAATGGGGGGACACAATTTTAAGCTGCACAGTCCTGGGGACAGCAGTTGCCATGCCACCCTGAATCATCAGATTGAAAGCCCCTCCCTCTGGCCTACATTGCAAAAGTGAATACTGGCAGTAAAGACTATTTTTGTTTCAATTTGGTGGTGGTTTGCAAAGGGACTTTAACTATATTCACCTGCCACATTTTAAACCTGAACTTAGAATGAATATTCAACTCTTGATGCCAAGTCAGTATTGCTGTATGTATTGAAATATGGAGAACAAGTCAAACAGTTACTAATAAACTACCCACAAAGATTTTTCCAGGAAATCAAATTCTGAGGAAAACACAGAGGTGCTGGATTAGACATAGAGAAAACCTGATAGTAGTATACTATAATGCTGATTTGTTGGAACCAACAGGAAAGAAGAAATAGAGGAAGGCCTTAAGAAAAATATAAAGAGCATTAGAAACAAATAAAATTGTATACGGAGGATAAGAGATGACACAAAGACAGCTTGTTTGAGAGCCTACGCTCTAGTGGAGGGGAAAAAAAAAAGGGGGGGGGGGGAGAGAAGAACTAAGTTGCCAACTACTTCTTACAATACTACTTCTTGAGTTAGTGTTTGGCTTTTGTTATGTCAAATTGTTTGTCTTTTTCGTGTTTGTAATTTGTGAGCTTTCACTTAAAAAATGGTTTATAACTGAAATGTGGGACCTAGTGTGGCTTGATTTAACAGATTACACCTACCTTTCGTTACTATTGTGCTGATTTCTTTGTTAATTTTTTGATTAGATCCTCCATCATCTTTAAATCAGCTTTTTGTTACTGTCATAGTCACTGGGTCATTACTTTATATTTGTTGTTCGTTCATTTCAGATCAGCATGTCTTGTTTGATTGTGTGTTTTCACATTGTCACATCTTGTTGCAATGAACATTTTCTGATCCATTGGGGGTGTTTGATTTTGTATTGTCATATCTTATTGCAATCAGCATGTTCTTATCTGTTGGGGTGAAAGGGGGAGGGTGGGTGATTTGCATTACCATATCCTCCTGCAGTTAAATTTTGTTTTTTAACAATCTTTTTAAAGTAAAAATTGGGAAAATCCTTACCATGTTGTCTAAAATAGAGTCAACCCTCATCACATTATCTAAAATAGAGACAATCCTCATCTCATTGTCTAAAATAGAGACAATCCTCATCACATTGTCTAAAATAGAGATAATCCTCATCACATTGTCTAAAATAGAGTCAACCCTCATCACATTATCTAAAATAAAGGCAATCCTCATCTCATTGTCTAAAATAAAGGCAATCCTCATCTCATTGTCTAAAATAGAGACAATCCTCATCTCATTGTCTAAAATAGAGGCATCCTCATCACATTGTCTAAAATAGAGATAATCCTCATCACATTGTCTAAAATAGAGACAATCCTCATCACATTGTCTAAAATAGAGATAATCCTCATCACATTGTCTAAAATAGAGGCATCCTCATCACATTGTCTAAAATAGAGACAATCCTCATCACATTGTCTAAAATAGAGGCATCCTCATCACATTGTCTAAAATAGAGATAATCCTCATCACATTGTCTAAAATAGAGATAATCCTCATCACATTGTCTAAAATAGAGACAATCCTCATCACATTGTCTAAAATAGAGATAATCCTCATCACATTGTCTAAAATAGAGATAATCCTCATCACATTGTCTAAAATAGAGGCATCCTCATCACATTGTCTAAAATAGAGATAATCCTCATCACATTGTCTAAAATAGAGATAATCCTCATCACATTGTCTAAAATAGAGACAATCCTCATCACATTGTCTAAAATAGAGATAATCCTCATCACATTGTCTACCCCTCCTCCTCCCTCCTCCCAAACAATGATATTGTAAAAGGCATTTGATTAGGAGTGTGCTGAAATCAGTTGGGGCAGATATTGCATCCTAGCTTTAAACCACAACACAGTATGCCACCTGTCTGTCTAAGGTTGAAAGCAGAAGCCGATTTGGTGCAGTTAGTTTATATTATTGGCTTTCTGGATTGTGACAATTTCTTTGTCCAGTCTGCCGTTCTCTGAAAGAATGCTTATAGAGCCAACACTGCAACTAATCCATGATAAGGTAAAGTACCTTAAACATTTGTGTCTGTGTGTATGCATGTGCATAAGTTAGTTGAGTATCCTTTACGAGATTTTGTAGAACCAACTCCAGCATCTTTTGGTTGTTTGTGATTTCACTAGGCAATTTTATCTTCGGAAGTATGCCATTGCTTTCTGAACAATCAGCTATAGATGTTACTGTTGAAACCAATGCAATGTGATCTGCTGCCAAATCGCCTGCAGCCAGGATTGAACCCGGCATCTTGGAGTTACAAAGCAGGCCCGTAATACCTGAACTATAGACGCCAAATTTCAAGACACCTCATGTATATAAACTGTGAAGTGTTAGAAGTAATAAATAATATGATACATTTTTGTCTACACAGGAGCAATCCAGTTTGTCCTTCTTCTGAACACACTGGCTTTGTGTGGTTTCTCTTTCTTCTTCTACATGGGCTGTGACAATGTGAAGATTGCTGGCGCCAACTTCCCCTACTTCAACAGGTACAGCACTTTCTCTTCTTGTGACAGTTTAATTGCTTCTGTGTGTGGCAGTTGTGTTCTCTCTGTTGTCTTTGAGAAAGTGAGCCCAGAGTATGACAGACAGTAGATCACAATTTGGCATGGCTAAAAATATTAGCCCTTTATGGGTTCCATGGTCCTATTATAGTGGGGGGGGGGGGGGGGGGGGGAGATAGATTAACTGCCCGCCTAAAATGTATGTTGTAAAAGTCAGTTAATTGAAGAAAATTCCTTGGAAATGAAAGTGCATGTCTGAGAGGCAAGGAACCAACAGTCTGCACATAGATAAGCAAAATCTGTAAAACTACTGAGTACCTATTAGTATATTAATTATAGGTCCAGCCCTATGTGCTAAATAAAGAGAAAAGGGTCCTATACTTTACTAAATTCCTCTTCTTCCTCTTCTTCTTCTTAGTGTTTTGTAAACTGCAGTGGAAAGTCCAGTGTTGTTCATCCACTTTTGGACTTTGGTCATGTTCAGAGTTTTGCACATACGACTGTGTTCTGTTCTAATATATGTATTTGCTATGAATCGGAGTTTAAGAGTGGCAGCCATGACGCCCAAAGACCACATGAGTCTTTCTCACAGGAGAAAATCTGCTGTAGCAAGCTTGATTAAGCAGCAAGCTTTTGAAGAACAATAGTAAAACCTATAGTGACAAGTTGTCTTTTTCTTCTTCTTCTTCGAATTCACAGGCTGTAAATTCTGATGGAAAGTTCTGGTTGTTCATCCACTTCTGGACTCTAATCATGTTCGAGGAATTGATTATTGTCGTGCATCTGTTTCATAGGTCTGACTCATGTGCATGTAGACTATTGGTTCCTTGCCCATCAAAAACATGTACTCTGAAAGAGCTCCCAATCAGCCGACTTTTCTGACATGCTTTTGGGCAAGCAGTGGGTCTGTTCTTGTTTTTCCTACAATGGGGCTCTGGAACCCACATGCAGATAACATGTTGCAATATTGACTGCGAGAACTGGCCAAGCCTTGCTGTTTTCCTACCTTATTTAGAGACAGACCTTGGAGCAGTCATGGATCAGTGTGAACACAACACCTCCACATTGGTCTACAGGTTACTTCTTAACCACTTTGTGGGGCCTGAATTTAACTGTGCTGTATGGCTACAGATTTGAAAGAGGTTCAGAGAGTGCTACCTATGTGATTCTTGTCCTTGTGATTGCAATCCTGAATGGAAAGGAGAGGGGGGGGGAGGGCCTTACATAAATCATGGAGGCTACACAGAAAAATGTGCAACAGTAAGAACATATCTTTATCTAGCAAGCTGCTGTTACTCCTCGTCCTTCCCTCGGTAAAGCTGGCTGTTGTGGGTCTCAGATATGTCCTATCCATATCTCAGAGCTCAGGACTGAACGGATAAATGACAGTATGATATTTTGTCAGCAAAGGGGCACAGTAGAGGTGTTGGATTGTATGTGCTCAAGAAAAGAAACACTGTATGCCTGCTTGTCTATTTTCTCTCTCAGCGTATCTGCCTACTTGTCTTTTGGAAAAGGGGGGGGGGGGGGGGGGTTTTAATTACTTTTTCTACCAGTCTCTATCTCTACTGCCTGTCTGCCTGCCTGCCTATAGATCTCTCTACCTGTTTACCTGCTCATTAGATTGTATGTTTGCAACATAAAAACACTTTCTGTCCATCTGCCTATTTGTCTGATCATCTCTCTCTGTTGGACTACATGCCTGTTTGTCTCCTTGTCTTTCTGTCTCTCTCTCTCTCTCTCTGCCTGGCTGCTTGTCTGTCTATCCACCTGGCAGTCAATATAGCTGAGAAATACTTAGCTTATTAAAGCGGCAGAACTTGTTTGAATGTGGAACAATACAGTTCACAAAGTCAGTTTACCTTTTGTATTGCTATTCCATTAAACATAAAAGAGAAAATGTAGAATGGTACTTAACATTTATAGAAATCAATGCAGAAATCATTATTATTGGTTGCCTCTTTGATCCCTAGTTATTTTTTGGCTTAAATAAATCCTTTAATGAAGAAATCATAATAATTATTGATTATGTGCTGAGCTGTTTCCACAACTGAGTGCCTGTTTTCATGCATGCATAGGCCTATATGCCACATTTAAAAACACAAACACCACGGGCTCGCACGCACACACAATCTCTCTCTCTCTCTCTCTCTCTTCTCTCTCTCTCTCTCTCTCTCTCTCTTCTCTCTCTCTCTCTCTCTCTTCTCTCTCTCTCTCTCTCTCTCTCTCTCTCTCTCTCTCTCTCTCTCTCTCTCTCTCTCTCTCTCTCTCTCTCTCTCTCTCTCTCTCTCTCTCTCTCTCTCTCTCTCAACACATTTTTATTTTTATTTACCAGACAATTTAATGGGATGAATTCTGGAAATGTGTACAAGGCTCATCCCTAAACAGATGCTTGGCAGCTGTGTACAAGGCCCATCCCTAAACATATGCTTGGCAGATGTGTACAAGTATCATTTCCTAAGCAAATGCTTGGCATATGTGTACAAACCCCCGTGTGGGTTCCGGGGCCCCATTGTGGGGAAAACAAGAATAGACCCACTGCCTCCCCAAAAGCATGTCGTAAGAGTCGACTAATTGGGGAGCTTCCTTTGAAGTCGGAGTGCATCTGCCGGAGAGGCAAGGAACCAACAGTCTGTATTCAAGAGAATGAGATGTGTAAAACTGATGCACACACAACACTCAGGTTCTGGAGCAGGACTGCAGTTCAGTAGTGGACGAGCAACCAGAACTTTCCGCCAGAGTGTACAGCTGGTGAACGCGAAGAAGAAGATTTCATAAATAAATATGGGGTAGCTGTGTACAAGAGTCATTTCCTAAACAAATGATTGGCAGATGTGTACAAGAGCCATTTCCTAAACAAATGATTGGCAGATATGTACAAGAGTCATTTCCTAAACAAATGATTGGCAGATGTGTACAAGAGTCATTTCCTAAACAAATGATTGGCAGATGTGTACAAGAGCCATTTCCTAAACAAATGATTGGCAGATATGTACAAGAGTCATTTCCTAAACAAATGATTGGCAGATGTGTACAAGAGTCATTTCCTAAACAAATGATTGGCAGATGTGTACAAGAGTCATTTCCTAAACAAATGATTGGCAGATATGTACAAGAGTCATTTCCTAAACAAATGATTGGCAGATATGTACAAGAGTCATTTCCTAAACAAATGATTGGCAGATGTGTACAAGAGTCATTTCCTAAACAAATGATTGGCAGATGTGTACAAGAGTCATTTCCTAAACAAATGATTGGCAGATGTGTACAAGAGTCATTTCCTAAACAAATGCTTGGCAGATGTGTACAAGGGTTATTTCTAAACAGATGCTTGTCAGATGTGTACTAGGGTTATTTTCTAAACTAATGCATGATTGATGTATTCAAGGCTCAATCACTAAACAAATACATTGAGATAAATTCAAATGTCGTTTACTAAACAAATACATGGGACCTGTCAGTCCATCAGGTGTCATCTCCCTAGCGAAGGTTGGCTTCAGTGGATCTCTTGTATTGACAGAACACTCTCTCAGGCTACTGTTTGTTCATTTCAGGATGTGTCCTCCCACTTGCTGTCTTGCCTTTTGTCTTTTCTCTCTGGTATAGATGTTGTCTTTTAATGTGTCCAAAAATATTGTGATTGTCTTTCTTTTCAATTCTTTCAGTAACTCTCCTTTCATTCGCAGTCTCTGTAGAAGCTTTGTTTTGATATCCATTGAGTAAAATATGTTCTTCTACATATTCATATAGCCAGATGCTGAATAGAATTTTAACTACTTGTTCATTATCAAGGACTCTGCACTCTGCACTATACAGCAAGGTTTTGAGTATACTAGCGTTTGACAGTTCTCATGGTAATGTGTTATCTCTATGAAATGTCAAAAGTGGGAGATGAGAAATGGGAAATTCAACACAGTGTATTTGTCATGTAATGATTTACACAGAAACATACACACAAAGAATGAATTTACTGTGTTATTTTTCAGCTCTGGCCACAAAATCTTCGAAGCCAATTTGACTTCATCCTGCAACCAAAACTGTGCCTGCTCCCAGAACCACATCCAGCCAATCTGTGGCATTAATGGAATCACATATTTCTCTCCATGCCATGCTGGCTGTACCGGCTCCAATTATTTCTATGACCACGGCAAAGAAGAGAGAAGTTTTGTAAGTTTTATTAATGAACCAGCAGTTGATTGGTTCTGATAGTCGATCTACTTTTCTGAACTAATTTTTGTGTTTGCCAGTTTGAATAGTAACCAACTCGACCCCAACTGTTGGGTCACAGAGTTTACCAGGATGTGCACTGGCCAGGAGCTTGTATAGTTAAAGTTAAAAGGATGGATTTCATTGTGCTGGATTATCCCATGTAGCTCAGGCTGTCACTGCAGAAAAGCTAGCCACCTGCCGAAAGATTTGCATTAAGCATGAACTCATAGCTCCGGTGATGATCCCTGGGAATCTCCATAAAAACTGCATTTGTGCATTGTTTTACACTAGATGAAACAAACCTGTGACCTTCAGAGTGTGAGGCAAACAGCTTGACCACACCAGCACACAGATTGTGGCAGCTCTTTGTGGTGTGGGTTATCTGCCCATTACTGGGCATACAAGTATTGTCAGGCCTGTATGCAGGCATGAAGCTCAAGTACTGATCTTGTACATTCTTGTACTGGCTTTGAGAGGGGAAGGAGGTCTCTGCAATCCAGTCCTCATGGCGATGGGAGAAGGGGGAACCTCTACACCACTCACCCTGATTGACGCACACCATTTTCATGGTTTAAGTATCTGAGAATCAGTACATCATATTAAGAAATGAGGGTTATGTCTTCATTATTTCATCATCAGCTGTTATCTTGCTCTGTATATACTTTTCTCTGCCACTGGTGGAAGTCACAATTTTCTGATACCTGTAAGAGCTGAAGACTCAGAATGGTGATAGCTGACATTCTCAGAACAATTTGCACAGAGCAAATACTTCTGAATGAACTGGCATGAGTCTGTTCAGGTGCATTCAAGTGCTGTCTATTGTTAGTGCATTCAAGTGCTGTCTATTGTTAGTGCATTCAGGTGTTGTCTATTGTTAGTGCATTCAGGTGCTGTCTATTGTTAGTGCATTCAAGTGTTGTCTATTGTTAGTGCATTCAAGTGCTGTCTATTGTTAGTGCATTCAGGTGCTGTCTATTGTTAGTGCATTCAGGTGTTGTCTATTGTTAGTGCATTCAAGTGCTGTCTATTGTTAGTGCATTCAAGTGTTGTCTATTGTTAGTGCATTCAGGTGCTGTCTATTGTTAGTGCATTCAGGTGCTGTCTATTGTTAGTGCATTCAGGTGTTGTCTATTGTTAGTGCATTCAAGTGCTGTCTATTGTTAGTGCATTCAAGTGCTGTCTATTGTTAGTGCATTCAGGTGCTGTCTATTGTTAGTGCATTCAAGTGCTGTCTATTGTTAGTGCATTCAGGTGCTGTCTATTGTTAGTGCATTCAGGTGCTGTCTATTGTTAGTGCATTCAAGTGCTGTCTATTGTTAGTGCATTCAAGTGATGTCTATTGTTAGCGCATTCAGGTGCTGTCTATTGTTAGTGCATTCAGGTGCTGTGTATTGTTAGTGCATTCAAGTGCTGTGTATTGTAGGTGCATTCAAGTGCTGTCTATTGTAGATGCATTCCAGTGCTGTCTATTGTAGGTACATTTCAGTGCTGTGTATTGTGATGGAAGTTGGAAAGATGCTGTTTCGCTGGAAGAGAAATACATTTCAAAACATGTATCAGTGAAGCAAAGGACTCGTTTCCCTGCCTCCAGGACATACACCCATCAACACTTGGTGCTTGTTGTTGTCACATATATTTTTTACAATCTAAGTTAACATACAATGAAGTTAACAAATGTTGGCACCTTGAAGTCTTTTTATTGTCATTGTGCTGCAGGTAGGCATAGAAATACTGCGTTCAGTGATATCAGTTAAGCGCAAGAGATGAAGTCAGAGAGGGGCAGCATTGTGAAAACCATCTGTTTACTCATGCAGCATGATCCCTTTCTCAGCCTGTCATTTTTTTTTTTAACTTGAAAGGACAAGTAAAACCAGTATATAGTTGCATATCCTTTACAGTGGTTGCAGAACCAATCCTAGAATTTGTTTTGGCCATTGTGGTTTTTCTGGGCAAATTTTACGTTCAGTAGTTTGCCATTGTTTTCTTAACAATCAGCTCTCAGTTCCACTGTCAAAACCACCACATAATGCTCTGCTGTCAAATCGCCTGCAGCTGGGATTGAACCAGGCACAATGAAGTGAGTTCGCAAGGCCTTAGCGACAGTTGCCGACAGTACGTTAGAATAAAACATGCCACAGAAGCTAGCTGATCAGAAAAGCAGATCTCTTTATGTTCTTCCATCTAGGTTTTCCTCCCAGACCATTTGCCAATTAAGACTACAGGCTGTGTCAGCCCTGCCCCAGCATAACAGTTGTCAGATTGCTTTTTCTCATCCTAGGATAAGGCTAGTATCCTGCCCAGTTTGCTAGCACAACATCGATCCTTCAGCCAACATGCACAATACACATAGTCTGTTGTAAGCATTACCATGGTAGTTTTCAGTTGACAGATGTGGTATTTGAGCCTGAAATTCATTGTTTCCACAGAACTACAGCGGATGCTCATGTATTGGAGATAGCCCTTTGGCTCATTCTGACCTTGAGGTCATCTACTCACCGATGGCCACCAGTGGTGCCTGTAAGAATACCTGCGAGAGGATGCTGCCTTTCCTCATTATGTTAGTGGTGATGACGTTCTGCGTGGCTGGGACACAGATGCCGATACTGATGGTTACTTTAAGGTTGGTGAACTCTGTTCATTCTGCAGGAGATTGCTAGATAGTTAGTCAAGTCTGTTCATTCTGCAGGAGATTGCTAGATAGTTGGTGAAGTCTGTTCATTCTGCATTAGATTGCTAGATAGTTAGTGAAGTCTGTTCATTCTGCAGGAGATTGCTAGATAGTTGGTGAAGTCTGTTCATTCTGCAGGAGATTGCTAGATAGTTAGTCAAGTCTGTTCATTCTGCAGGAGATTGCCAGATAGTTGGTGAAGTCTGTTCATTCTGCAGGAGATTGCCAGATAGTTGGTGAACTCTGTTCATTCTGCAGGAGATTGCTAGATAATTGGTGAAGTCTGTTCATTCTGCAGGAGATTGCCAGATAGTTGGTGAAGTCTGTTCATTCTGCAGGAGATTGCCAGATAGTTGGTGAAGTCTGTTCATTCTGCAGGAGATTGCCAGATAGTTGGTGAACTCTGTTCATTCTGCAGGAGATTGCCAGATAGTTGGTGAAGTCTGTTCATTCTGCAGGAGATTGCCAGATAGTTGGTGAAGTCTGTTCATTCTGTAGGAGATTGCTAGATAGTTAGTGAAGTCTGTTCATTCTGCAGGAGATTGCCAGATAGTTGGTGAAGTCTGTTCATTCTGCAGGAGATTGCTAGATAGTTAATAATGTAGTGATTAAGAAATTGGAAATGTTTACATACTTTGCTGGTTGTGACAGGGAAAGATTGTCTTAGGAAACATGATATCAGGAGGAGAGTCGCCACAGAACATTACTGAACTGTATCAGTAGACGACTGATCAAATGGTTTGGCCATGTAACAAGATTGGCAACAGACAGGACACCAAAGTGAGCAGTGTTGTACAGATACAACGCTAACAGATCCAAAGGTTGACCAAGCAAAAGATGTACCATGGAAATATCGGAGACACTGAAAAGTGCTGTACAAGCAAACAGAAAGGCCTGTTCCAGAGATCTTTTCCTGCTCTGATGCTGTGAGGCTTTCCAGGAGTAGAGAAAAGAAGAAAAAATTGGTGGTAGTTAGAAAATGTTTTCTGTGTGTTTTTGTTGAATAAAGTTGTGGACGGAGAACAAGACAACTGCCGAGTAGTGACAGTGTTCAAGATCATTCATCTGAACAGAAAGGAAGAGACATACATACTTTTTCAGACATAACATCTTTTTTAAGGACAACACAGTCACAGTTGATTGTTGGCAACCTTCGGTCTTTCCAGACGATAGTGGGCTATCCTCCAGACTTCAGGCACTAAAGATGGTGGCCGCAAAATATGCTTTCAAGCCACAGTCACGTGTCAATTGCGCACTTCCGGCGACTTAATTTGCGGTTTTCCGGTGACTACCACCACTGCCATGAGTCCCCCACGACGCTCACACGACATGAATTAGGGCTAAACTAGATGGCTAGGACCCACGAGCAGCAACTTCCGCATCACCTGAAGGTTTGCTTGTGAGTCCTAGCCATCTAGTTTAGCCCCCAATCCACGCGGTGTGAGGGACTCGTGGCGGTGGCGGTAGTCGCAGGAAAACCGCCGGAGAGCCGCAAATTAGGTCACATGACTGTGGCTCGAAAGGATATTTTGCGGCCGCCATCTTTAATACCCGAAGTTCGGAGGATAGCCCGATAGTGTTATATTGTGCTGTAGGAAAGCATGGGACTCCCAGACCATGGTGATGGTAAGTGTGACTAGCAAGATCCATTTGCATTAAGTTTTCTATACAATAAGTTCCTGGGATTTTAGAGCCATGGCATCACTTGAATCTGCTTCTTTCCATATGCTGAGTTCCTAACCCATAGCCAGTCAGCAGTGTTGCCACTTTTCTTTGACAAAAAACATCCAAAACGGAGTGTAAAAATATCTAAAAACATCTAAATTTGCATGGAAAACATCTAGAAAAAACATCCAAATGAAAGGAGTCACAAATTACATAGCAGTTAATATAACTTACCCTACAGAATCATGTCCTCATCTTTACTGAAGTCTGCCTTATAAGCTCCACAGGATAAACTTAGCGTGGATTATGAAGTTGAAGCTTCAGATCCAAAATGACTGGTTTGCTTTAGCTGTTCCAATTTCTTTTAATACCCAATCAGGGAGCTGATAAGTGGAACAGCCTTTTCCTACTCTTATCAGCCAAATTTTATTGTCAAGATAGCATTTAAGAGATGAAATTTCATCCTGTTTCTTAGGTTAGATGTGATAAATTCACTCCAAATGAAAAACATATAGGAAAACATCTATCATCTAAATGACAAAAATGCCATATTTCAATGGGTTGAAATGAATTCTGTCCGTATTCCATAGTCGTGGATTTCAAGCTGTACGATAGACATGGCCAATGAGTCACCCTTTTTTGGGCGGTGCCTAGTTGACCATGTATCTTAGTGCACTTGTATTCATGGCGAGGCGCAGACGCCGTCTGGAGGTGACAGGTTCAATTCCCGGCACGGTAACTATAGCTTTCGATTTTTATGTTGTCTAGTGTGTTCTTCTATCTTTCTACTTCTTTCTATGAGTGCCGTTCACAATACTTTCTGTTACTTGATTAATTCATCTTAATGCAAGGGAAAACATCTAAATCTGGATGTAAAACATCCAAAGTGGCAACACCGGCAGTCAGTTTTTCCATTATCCTTGTTCCCTTCCTGATTTTCCACCTCCATGTAACGGGTTCCATAGTATCCACTTCCCTCAGATCCACCTCAGAATTTATCATTCATGTCCCATTTGCACACATCTTTATATTGTAGTAGAGTCTTATTTCAACTAGTCCTTTCAGGATTAACATGCAAAGAAAAAATAGCACAACAGCCGAGGTGGAGTAGGAAATCCCAAGAATATCCACACACCAGCAAGATGGGAAATGCCTGATAACCACCTCACCAGCAATTCTAACTTGATAGGTTTTGTTTTTCTTTCTAAGCCCTCACCTGTAGTAAGCTGCTGCACAAAGTTCTGGTTGTTTGTTTACTTCTGAAATTTGGTTTTAGTCCTGAACTTGAATTTTGTATGAACGTCCATTTTACAGATCTAACTTATTTGTATGCAGACTGTTGGTTGCTCACTTCTCAGGTGGATGCACTCTGAAGGAAACAGCCCCTTTTGAATCAACTTACAACATGTTTGTTAGGAGGCAATAAGTCTGCCCCCCCCCCACACACACACACACACACACTCACACGCACATGCACACACACACACACACACACACACTCTCTCTCACACACACACTCTCACTTACACACACACACACACTCACACACACACTCACACACTCTCACACACACACACACTCACTCACACTCTCACACTCACTCACACTCCCACACACTCTCACACTCACTCACACTCTCTCACACTCTCACACTCACTTACACTCACTCACACACACACACTCACACTCACACAAATTGTGCCCCAGAACCGACACGAGGATAATTTGATGTAAGGTCGAACATCTGTAATTTAAAAAAAACATAATCAGTCATGTTGGCCAAGAGCCTAAGCAAACAGTGGGAGATGAAGGGTCAGTAGAAAACAGATTACTTTGCCTTAAATGGGTAACAGGTAATGTTGTGAAAAGTAAAAGCACGCAGGGTGATGTTTTCCACATAATGCACCAAATGCAGATTGGTCTATAGAATATGAGTTAAGGACCGTATGCCTGGTACAAGACAGGTGTAAAAAGAGTCTTTTAAGTTTGTACATTTAGAAGAATAAAGGCAGTACAGAAAGATGAAAGTGGATGTAGTACTAATCTACTGACTGATATTTCCAGGTCTGTGGGAACCATGGAGCGGTCATTTGCCTTAGGACTGCAGTTTGTTGGCATGCGGTTGTTTGGTAAGTGCACGGACAGTTTTGGGTGGCTATGTCTTGAGGGATGTGCTTGTTTGCCGTCTTGCTTTTGTGCCGTCTTGCTTTTTTGTGTTGTTGTTGTTGTTGATGAATACGCTCACCTGTGGATCTGACGCTCTTGGGCTCAAACCCGGAGACAGGCTTTTGTCAAAAACTGACCTTGGCTGCCAGGTGGTTCCAGCCTTAAATGGCACCCAGTGAAGTCGTAGAAAGTAGAAGTGGCTGATTGGTCTATAAATATAGGTCAGGCACTGTATGCCCAATACACCTGAGGTCGTGGAAAAAGGTCCTTTTACTGCCTCTTTAAGGACACTCAGTATATCAGTCTGATGCCTTTGGCAGCTGTCAGTTAGTTGCTTATCGTTTACAGGGTGTGCCAATCCAGTGCCAGCATTTGCTGCATGTTTGTGGCTTTACTAGGCAATTGTTGGTTGAGTCATGTTTGTGGTTTTACTAGGCAATTGTTGGTTGAGTCATGTTTGTGGTTTTACTAGGCAATTGTTGGTTGAGTCATGTTTGTGGTTTTACTAGGCAATTGTTGGTTGAGTCATGTTTGTGGTTTTACTAGGCAATTGTTGGTTGAGTCATGTTTGTGGTTTTACCAGGCAATTGTTGGTTGAGTCATGTTTGTGGTTTTACTAGGCAATTGTTGGTTGAGTCATGTTTGTGGTTTTACTAGGCAATTGTTGGTTGAGTCATGTTTGTGGTTTTACTAGACAATTGTTGGTTGAGTCATCTTTGTGGTTTTACTAGGCAATTTTTGGTTGAGTCATGTTTGTGGTTTTACTAGGCAATTGTTGGTTGAGTCATGTTTGTGGTTTTACTAGGCAATTGTTGGTTGAGTCATGTTTGTGGTTTTACTAGGCAATTGTTGGTTGAGTCATGTTTGTGGTTTTACTAGACAATTGTTGGTTGAGTCATCTTTGTGGTTTTACTAGGCAATTTTTGGTTGAGTCATGTTTGTGGTTTTACTAGGCAATTGTTGGTTGAGTCATGTTTGTGGTTTTACTAGGCAATTGTTGGTTGAGTACTTGTATACACCCGCTAGTAGTTAAACAAGTCACTTGACACAGTACACATGTTTCCACCCGCTAGCAGTTAAACAAGTCACTTGACACAGTACACATGTGTCCTGCTGTTCTAAGATTTGACACAGTACACATGTGTCCTGCTGTTCTAAGATTTGACACAGTACACATGTGTCCTGCTGTTCTGAGATTTGACACCGTACACCTGTGTCCTGCTGTTCTAAGATTTGACACAGTACACATGTGTTCTGCTGTTCTAAGATTTGACACAGTACACCTGTGTCCTGCTGTTTTAAGATATGGAAGCTTCAGTGTTTCATTAAAATTTAACAAACTGGGAAAGAGTGATTAAAAAAATTTGATGTTGATTTCTCTGTCTCTGTTGCTCTCTGCCTTTCTGTCTCTGTGCCTCTCTTTGTGTGCTTCTCTCTCTCTCTCTCTCTCTGTGTCTCTGTCTGTCTTTCTCTCTGTCTGTCTCTCTATTGCTTGGTTCATGAAACCATTTCTGTCATATTTTATGTTTGTTGGTAAGATCTTTATCTCAGGGTCCAGAAACTGGAACAAGATCTTTATCTCAGGGTCCAGAAACTGGAACAAGATCTTTATCTCAGGGTCCAGAAACTGGAACAAGATCTTTATCTCAGGGTCCAGAAACTGGAACAAGATCTTTATCTCAGGGTCCAGAAACTGGAACAAGATCTTTATCTCAGGGTCCAGAAACTGGAACAAGATCTTTATCTCAGGGTCCCGAAACTGGAACAAGATCTTTATCTCAGGGTCCAGAAACTGGAACAAGATCTTTATCTCAGGGTCCAGAAACTGGAACAAGATCTTTATCTCAGGGTCCAGAAACTGGAACAAGATCTTTATCTCAGGGTCCAGAAACTGGAACAAGATCTTTATCTCAGGGTCCAGAAACTGGAACAAGATCTTTATCTCAGGGTCCAGAAACTGGAACAAGACCCCATTTGTATCTTCATTTTCTTGGTTTAGAAACCAGAGCAAGGCCCCATTGCTGAGACCAGCACTAAGCAGTCTGCTGCCAGATCACCTGCAGCTGGAATTGAACCAGATATTTTGAAGCTATGAACACCCATTGACAACTCTAGGATTAGCTTAATAGCTAACAATTGTTTTGGTGTTGTTTTTTTATTCCAGCCTACATACCAAGTCCCATTTTCTTTGGGAATGCAATCGACAGTACCTGTCTGCTGTGGAGTGTTACCTGCGAGAGGAACGGATCCTGCCTTCTGTACGACATTGTTACGTTTCGTTACAAATACATAGGTAAGTCATACATCACTGTTGAGTTTTCATTACCTGAACAGTGTCACCATAGTCTGTTTTTTCCTCTTTATGTTCACTCGCTGCAATCTGTAGCAGAGAGTCCTGGTTGTTCATCCACTTTTGGACTTTGATCTTGTTCCATAAATTGAGTGTTAAGTGCACATCCATTTCACAGAACTGGCTTATTTGTATGCACACACTATGGGTTCTGCTCCTTTAAGGCGGATGCACTCTCGTCTTCGAAGAAATCATGGATCCTATTTAACATGACAAAGCCCCCAGTAGAGGCCCTATTTCTAGTATGACCAAGCCCCCAGCAGAGACCCTATTTCTAGTATGACTAAGCCCCCATGACCAAGCCCCCAGTAGAGACGCTATTTCTAGTATGACCAAGCCCCCAGTAGAGGCCCTATTTCTAGTATGACCAAGCCCCCAGTAGAGACCTATTTATAGTATGACCAAGCCCCCATGACCAAGCCCCCAGTAGAGACGCTATTTCTAGTATGACCAAGCCCCCAGTAGAGGCCCTATTTCTAGTATGACCAAGCCCCCAGTAGAGGCCCTATTTCTAGTATGACCAAGCCCCCAGTAGAGGCCCTATTTCTAGTATGACCAAGCCCCCAGCAGAGATCCTACTTCTAGTATGACCAAGCCCCCAGTAGAGGCCCTATTTCTAGTATGACCAAGCCCCCAGTAGAGGCCCTATTTCTAGTATGACCAAGCCCCCAGCAGAGACCCTATTTCTAGTATGACCAAGTCCCCAGTAGAGACCCTATTTATAGTATGACCAAGCCCACAGTAGAGACCCTATTTCTAGTATGACCAAGCCCCCAGGAGAGATCCTATTTCTAGTATGACCAAGCCCCCAGCAAAGATCCTATTTCTAGTATGACCAAGCCCCCAGCAGAGATCCTATTTCTAGTATGACCAAGTCCCCAGTAGAGACCCTATTTCTAGTATGACCAAGTCCCCAGTAGAGACCCTATTTCTAGTATGACCAAGCCCCCAGTAGAGACCCTATTTATAGTATGACCAAGCCCCCAGCAGAGACCCTGTTTCTAGTATGACCAAGCCCCCAGTAGAGGCCCTATTTCTAGTATGACATAGCCCCAAGCAGAGACCCTGTTTCTAGTATGACCAAGCCCCCAGCAGAGACCCTGTTTCTAGTATGACCAAGCCCCCAGTAGAGACCCTGTTTCTAGTATGACCAAGCCCCCAGTAGAGATCCTATTTCTAGTATGACCAAGCCCCAAGCAGAGATCCTATTTCTAGTATGACCAAGCCCCCAGTAGAGGCCCTATTTCTAGTATGACCAAGCTCCCAGTAGAGGCCCTATATCTAGTACGACCAAGCCCCCAGTAGAGGCCCTATTTCTAGTATGACCAAGCCCCCAGTAGAGGCCCTATTTCTAGTATGACCAAGCAATTTCTAGTATGACCAAGCCCCCCCTAGCAGAGATCCTATTTCTAGTATGACCAAGCCCCCAGTAGAGGCCCTATTTCTAGTATGACCAAGCCCCCAGCAGAGATCCTATTTCTAGTATGACCAAGCTCCCAGTAGAGGCCCTATTTCTAGTATGACCAAGCCCCCAGTAGAGACCCTATTTCTAGTATGACCAAGTCCCCAGCAGAGACCCTATTTCTAGTATGACCAAGCCCCCAGTAGAGACCCTATTTCTAGTATGACCAAGTCCCCAGCAGAGGCCCTATTTCTAGTATGACCAAGCCCCCAGTAGAGACCCTATTTCTAGTATGACCAAGCCCCCAGTAGAGACCCTGTTTCTAGTATGACCAAGCCCCCAGTAGAGACCCTGTTTCTAGTATGACCAAGCCCCCAGTAGAGACCCTATTTCTAGTATGACCAAGCCCCCAGCAGAGACCCTATTTCTAGTATGACCAAGCCCACAGTAGAGACCCTATTTCTAGTATGACCAAGCCCCCAGCAGAGACCCTATTTCTAGTATGACCAAGCCCACAGTAGAGACCCTATTTCTAGTATGACCAAGCCCACAGTAGAGACCCTATTTCTAGTATGACCAAGCCCCAGTAGAGACCCTATTTCTAGTATGACCAAGCCCCCAGCAGAGACCCTATTTCTAGTATGACCAAGCCCCCAGCAGAGACCCTATTTCTAGTATGACCAAGCCCCCAGCAGAGACCCTATTTCTAGTATGACCAAGCCCCCAGTAGAGACCCTATTTAGTATGTATGACCCCCAGTAAGTATGACCCCCAGCAGAGACCCTATTTCTAGTATGACCAGTATAGAGACCCTATTTCTAGTATGCCCAAGCCCCCAGTAGAGAGACCCTATTTCTAGTATGACCAAGCCCCCAGCAGAGACCCTATTTCTAGTATGACCAAGCCCCCAGCAGAGACCCTATTTCTAGTATGACCAAGCCCCCAGTAGAGACCCTATTTCTAGTATGACCAAGTCCCCAGTAGAGATCCTATTTCTAGTATGACCAAGTCCCCCTAGTAGAGACCCCCATTTCTAGTATGACCAAGCCCCCAGTAGAGACCCTATTTCTAGTATGACCAAGTCCCCAGTAGAGACCCTATTTCTAGTATGAACAAGCCCTTAAGAGACTTTTCTAGTATGACCAGTAGAGACCCTATTTCTAGTATGACCAAGCCCCCAGTAGAGACCCTATTTCTAGTATGACCAAGCCCCCAGTAGAGACCCTATTTCTAGTATGACCAAGCCCCAGTAGAGACCCTATTTCTAGTATGACCAAGCCCTACAGTAGAGACCCTATTTCTAGTATGACCAAGCCCTATTTCAGTATGACCAAGAGAGACCCTATTTCTAGTATGACCAAGCCCTATTTCTAGTATGACCAAGCTGTAGAGACCCTATTTCTAGTATGACCAAGCCCCCAGTAGAGACCCTATTTCTAGTATGACCAAGCCCCCAGTAGAGACCCTGTTTCTAGTATGACCAAGCCCCCAGTAGAGACCCTATTTCTAGTATGACCAAGCCCACAGTAGAGACCCTATTTCTAGTATGACCAAGCCCCAGTAGAGACCCTATTTCTAGTATGACCAAGCCCCCAGTAGAGACCCTGTTTCTAGTATGACCAAGCCCCCAGTAGAGACCCTGTTTCTAGTATGACAAGCCCAAGAGACCCTGTTTCTAGTATGACCAAGCCCCCAGTAGAGACCCTATTTCTAGTATGACCAAGCCCCCAGTAGAGACCCTATTTCTAGTATGACCAAGCCCCCAGTAGAGACCCTATTTTCTAGTATGACCAAGCCCCCAGTAGAGACCCTATTTCTAGTATGACCAAGCCCCAAGCAGTAGAGACCCTATTTCTAGTATGACCAAGCCCCCAGTAGAGACCCTATTTCTAGTATGACCAAGCCCCCAGTAGAGACCCTATTTCTAGTATGACCAAGCCCCCAGTAGAGACCCTATTTCTAGTATGACCAAGCCCCCAGTAGAGACCCTATTTCTAGTATGACCAAGCCCCCAGTAGAGACCCTATTTCTAGTATGACCAAGCCCCCAGTAGAGACCCTATTTCTAGTATGACCAAGCTCCCAGTAGAGACCCTATTTCTAGTATGACCAAGCTCCCAGTAGAGACCCTGTTTCTAGTATGACCAAGTCCCCAGTAGAGATCCTATTTCTAGTATGACCAAGTCCCCAGTAGAGATCCTATTTCTAGTATGACCAAGTCCCCAGTAGAGACCCTATTTCTAGTATGACCAAGCTCCCAGTAGAGACCCTGTTTCTAGTATGACCAAGTCCCCAGTAGAGACCCTATTTCTAGTATGACCAAGTCCCCAGCAGAGACCCTATTTCTAGTATGACCAAGGAGATGTTATTCTGTGTTTACAGATGAGACTAATGTTACTAATTATATTTTTTTTTAATGTAGCTTATGAAAATGGAGTTACTGAATATATGATTTTGTATGTTAACAAGTGAGTTGAAGCTTTATACAGATATTATTGTTTGGTAGCAAATAAAGTTAAAGTTACTGAACAGGTGTTATTTGGTAACAGATAAAGTTGAAGTTATTGGACAGACATAATGATATAGTAACAAAGGAAGTTGAAGTTATTGGACAGACATAATGATATGGTAACAAATGAAGTTGAAGTTATTTACCTGATATGTTCTGTTGACAAATAAAGTTGAAGTTACTGAACAGGTGTTATTATTTGGTATCAAATAAAAAAAGTTGAATTTAATGGACAAACATAATGATATAGTAACAAATGAAATTGAAGTTATTAAACATATATTATTATTTGGTAACTAATGAAGTTAAATTTATTAAACCTATGTTATATGTTAACAAATGAAGTTGAAGTTATTGAACAGATGTTATTGTATATGAAGTTGAAGTTACTGCACAATTATTATTTGATGCTGCCAGGTATTGCTGCAAGCCTGAAAGTTATCTCCATGGGCTTCTTTGTGGCTGTCTGGTATTTCATCCGACGGAGAACCTTGGCGGAAGCAGCTGCAGCCAATAGGGTCAGTACACATCAAGCTTTTTTTTTTTTTATTAGGCTGGTTTTGGTCATCTTCTTCCAAACCTTCTTTCTATCAGTTACTTTCTTCATCTCCTCATAAACAACAGATCAAATGATTCGGACATGTGTCAAGACAACCACCAGATAGTGCGCCACTGAGAGCCCTGTTGTGTGTGTGATGTAAGCAGGTCTAGAGGTGGACCATGCAAGAGATAGATAGATGGCATATCTGAGGCTTTAAACACCAGCATCTAGATAGCACATTACAAGGCTCACACCCAATGTCTCTTCAAAACCTGATACGGAGAGACAGAACAGGACTGGAGAAGAAGAAATTTTTTTTCAGTTTTTCTCTCCTGGCTGTTTTTTTAATTTTTGTGTGTGTGGCAGATTTGGTAGTTGTCAAACAGTTTATGGGAATATGGCAAAGACAGGTTCAGATGTCCAACAGAAGATGGTTTTTGCTTTTTCGATTTACGATTTTTTGCTTAAGGATGTCTCCATTGGAATTTCAGTTTCCTTCCGTAGATCATACATAGGAAATCTTGTGCTGGGACTGGGTCACTGCACCTGGAGAAAGAGGGTGGAGGAGGGGGGGGGGGGGGGGGGGGGGGGAGGGAGGAGGGACTTACTGGTTCCGACAGGTATAAATTAATTTACCCTTTTGCCCAGAAAACTCTACAATAATAAAAAAAAAAAAAACCAAAAGGTCACAATCCCGTTAGGATTCCTGAAAGAAATTAAACAACAAAAAAATTTTTTTTTCAATACAGATAACTAATAAATATGTAAAAAAAATTATTTTATTTATAATTTAAGATTATTTGTCAAAATGAATATAGATGTATGAAAGAAGTAAATCAATAAACATGAACAAGGTGAAGCATTAAATGAATTACATCCCCTGGGACCTAAAAAGCGCGCATCTATTGAGTGACTCATGCGGTGACCCCGTGACCTCTACTGCTGTAATTGTCCTGACATGTGTAATAAAACAATCAATCTTAGTATTTTATTCCACAACAGGTGGAGATTCAGACTTCAACCTCGCCTGTAGACAGAACAGAGGGAAACAATTTGGGGGCAGTGACACACACTGCTCGACCATCAGAGCTAGGTATCACACCAGCTACACCACCACATCAGTATGATCATGACCACCGCAACAATGGGAGCAGTTCTGTGGGCCAAGGAGTCAATGGACGCAGACAACCTGACCAAGACCAAGGTTTGGATCACCTGACTTTAAGGGGTCCAGAGGATGCCTACATCCGGGGCCCAAATGTGACCACACTTTCCAACATTCCTGGAGAAGAGTCTGTTTTGTGATGACCTGAAAGGGTGTTCTACTCTGTAAAAGCTGTGACATCTGCCATTTTTTGTTTTTATCAATTTAGGTTTAAATCTGAGGATTTTATTTTGTGGTTCAGATTTAGCCATTGGTTTTATTTATTTTGTTTATATTTCCCCGCCCCAGTACTTTGATATTTGTTGGTCTAATATTGTGTCCATGCCTCCCCCTTCCCCCAGTAGATGGTACACCAGCACCGCTTTATTGGGCCCTAGATCACCATGTGTGTGCCCTTTGATGAGACTTGTAGGTGCCTCTTGTGTACAAGTACTGTACAGTATTTCACATCCAAGCTGTTACTGATCATTGTTGTTTCTTTTTTTCAGTGGTTAACCACTTAATTTTATGTCCAGAACAAACCTGCTTTAGATTTATTTGTTTTGTTAATGTGTCTTTATGTTTTGTTAAAATAACCACATTATGTTTGTACATAAAAACCTTTCTTGTTGTAGCTTACTTCAGATCACTTTTGTTTTTCTGTTGATGTAAATCACCTTATTGACTAAACACAACAAGTGGTTTTATACATTTTAATAGCAAACCTACTATAGATCACCATTTCATTTGATTGTGTATATGACACCATTTTACCTGCATGTGTTTTTGACTGATGAGGAAATACCTCATTTTTTAGACCAAATGATCATCATGGTATTAAGAGAATCGTGCTACGAGGAGTAACAAGGGTATCTGGTCAGTGTTTAGCACTTAAGGGAAAAGTGACACGGATATACAGTCAGACAGTCTCCTGGTGCTATTGGAATTGGAACTGTGCACTTGCTGCTAAAGTTGGGGATAGAGCACTTATGGGAATGTCCTAATTCAGCTTTCAACATTTAGGACCATATACAATGAACGCTTACTAGAGAAACAGAGAATCCAGTATTCTGTGATCAGTTGCTTTAGAAAATTCTATACTTACGGTTGAGTGAAAACAGTCATCTATGTTGGAGAAACAGTCATCTATGTTAGAGAAACAGTCTTTCTATGTTAGAGAAACAGTCTTTCTATGTTAGAGAAACAGTTATCTATGTTAGAGAAACAGTCCATATTGGAGACCCCCCCCCCCCCCCCCCCCCCCCTACCATCTTGACTCCACACAGATCACACACAATTACCACAGCAACATTTTTAGCACCAAAAGACACCTGTCTTCCATCAACCAGCATGACCAGTGCCAACCCTACTGCATACAGGCCAGTACCGACCCCACTACATTACACACGGGCCAGTACCGACCCCACTACATTACACACGGGCCAGTACCGACCCTACTATACACAGGCCAGTGCTAACCCCACTGCACAGGTGCCAGTGCGTACCTCACTGCACACAGGTGCCAGTGTGGCCACTTCTGATCACAACAATCAGTCATCCACGAAAAGATTCAAACAATGTGCACCTACACTTCATTACCCCCACATTGGCTTAAACTTCGCTTGCACACTACACACTAAAGTGAGTTTAGCACACTTCATTAACCCTTGGCTCATAAAAACAATGTGCACTACACACTAAAGTGAGTTTAGCACACTTCATTACCCTTGGCTTAAACACTACACACTAAAGGGAGTTTAGCACACTTCATTACCCTTGGCTTAAACACTACACACTAAAGTGAGTTTAGCACACTTCATTAACCCTTGGCTTAAACACTACACACTAAAGGGAGTTTAGCACACTTCATTAACCCTTGGCTTAAACACTACACACTAAAGTGAGTTTAGCACACTTCATTAACCCTTGGCTTAAACACTACACACTAAAGGGAGTTTAGCACACTTCACTAACCCTTGGCTTAAACACTACACACTAAAGTGAGTTTAGCACACTTCACTAACCCTTGGCTTAAACACTACACACTAAAGTGAGTTTAGCACACTTCATTAACCCTTGGCTTAAACACTACACACTAAAGTGAGTTTAGCACACTTCATTACCCTTGGCTTAAACACTACACACTAAAGTGAGTTTAGCACACTTCATTACCCTTGGCTTAAACACTACACACTAAAGTGAGTTTAGCACACTTCATTACCCTTGGCTTAAACACTACACACTAAAGTGAGTTTAGCACACTTCATTACCCTTGGCTTAAACACTACACACTAAAGGGAGTTTAGCACACTTCATTAACCCTTGGCTTAAACACTACACACTAAAGTGAGTTTAGCACACTTCATTACCCTTGGCTTAAACACTACACACTAAAGTGAGTTTAGCACACTTCATTACCCTTGGCTTAAACACTACACACTAAAGTGAGTTTAGCACACTTCATTAACCCTTGGCTTAAACACTACACACTAAAGGGAGTTTAGCACACTTCATTAACCCTTGGCTTAAACACTACACACTAAAGTGAGTTTAGCACACTTCATTAACCCTTGGCTTAAACACTACACACTAAAGGGAGTTTAGCACACTTCACTAACCCTTGGCTTAAACACTACACACTAAAGTGAGTTTAGCACACTTCATTAACCCTTGGCTTAAACACTACACACTAAAGTGAGTTTAGCACACTTCATTAACCCTTGGCTTAAACACTACACACTAAAGTGAGTTTAGCACACTTCATTACCCTTGGCTTAAACACTACACACTAAAGTGAAGTTAGCACACTTCATTACCCTTGGCTTAAACACTACACACTAAAGTGAGTTTAGCACACTTCATTACCCTTGGCTTAAACACTACACACTAAAGTGAAGTTAGCACACTTTATTACCCTTGGCTTAAACACTATACACTAAAGTGAAGTTAGCACACTTTATTACCCTTGGCTTAAACACTACACACTAAAGTGAGTTTAGCACACTTCATTACCCTTGGCTTAAACACTACACACTAAAGTGAAGTTAGCACACTTCATTACCCTTGGCTTAAACACTACACACTAAAGTGAGTTTAGCACACTTCATTACCCTTGGCTTAAACACTACACACTAAAGTGAAGTTAGCACACTTTATTACCCTTGGCTTAAACACTACACACTAAAGTGAAGTTAGCACACTTCATTACCCTTGGCTTAAACACTATACACTAAAGTGAAGTTAGCACACTTCATTACCCTTGGCTTAAACACTACACACTAAAGTGAATTTAGCACACTTTATTACCCTTGGCTTAAACACTGCACACTAAAGTGAGTTTAGCACACAACAGTATACTAGCTTTTAAGGGTTGTGTAGGTGAGCGTGATGATTTGGAACCTAAAGATTTATGGCGAATGCAGTTACCACAAACTGTCCCGGCTAGTAGTTTATTTATGCCCATCTTCAGTTACATTCTTTTGTTAGCATAAATTTTGTTCCACATTTTTTCTTTTCAACCAAATCTCATTTTTCAATATCCTGTAGCAATAGAAAATGTCATGCTTCAGGGTCATGAGAACCCCTCTTCATTGCTGTAAATCATGAGAACCCCTCTTCATTGCTGTAAAACATGAGAACCCCTCTTCATTGCTGTAAATCATGAGAACCCCTCTTCATTGCTGTAAATCATGAGAACCCCTCTTCATTGCTGTAAATCATGAGAACCCCTCTTCATTGCTGCAAATCATGAGAACCCCTCTTCATTGCTGTAAATCATGAGAACCCCTCTTCATTGCTGTAAATCATGAGAACCCCTCTTCATTGCTGTAAATCATGAGAACCCCTCTTCATTGCTGTAAATCATGAGAACCCCTCTTCATTGCTGTAAATCATGAGAACCCCTCTTCATTGCTGTAAATCATGAGAACCCCTCTTCATTGCTGTAAATCATGAGAACCCCTCTTCATTGCTGCAAATAAAAACATCATGTTTGTGAGAAACAGCCCACATTTGTACATACCATCTTCCCGACCCTTGTAGTAATGGTGGAAGTGCACCTTTGTGTTTGGGCTGTGGCATTGCCCTAGAACACTTTTCAACTCACTGTACATATGTTTTGTGCTGGGATGCCAGATAATTGTTTTCAATGGATTGTTTTCAATGAGAAATTGACTTTTCAGTATTAATGCATGTTCTTTCAGTCTTTATTGCATTGTTTTGGGTAATTGTAACTACAGATTTAGTGTCCATTAAGTAAAGCATTCAGCATTTAGTGTTTCACCAAAGATGAGCTGACAGATCATTCCGTTGGGCCGCCCTGAACAGCTACCTACAGATTTAACTTACTATTCTCAACCTGGACAGCAGACCAGCGAGGTAGATCACAGATACCCTGTTCAGCCTCCAAAAGCAGCTACAATGAAGGCACCAGAAACTGCAACACCAGCCAGGTGTGACCTGCAGTCCTGTGTGGACCAGAGAAGAGACTAAACAGCCATTTGTCATGCTGGCAGATACTTGAAACATGCTGTGAGAGGCTGCAGATGTTTTGGGGAGATCATCAGTAGCTGTTACCAAGGCACTTGATGAGGAGCAGATGTCCTCATAATCTGTTTGGTTTTCTGCCCAGAAGCTGTTCTTGATCATCATGTTAGGAGTCTGTTGTCTGTTGTTATATCAACATATTAGTTGTATTTTAGTGGCCACACGCTGGGGGATATACTCAAGACTAGAGTATAATATGTAGAATATTCCATTTGGGATTCACAAGGCATACACGACCTAGCCATCACATGCTGCCTTGTCCGAGATGGCTGCACATGATTGTTTTGACCAGACTGCAAGGGAACTTGGCGTTCATCAGTTTGTTGTTTCACAAGGTGTCAAAGATAGAATGGAAACATCGTTAGTGCTGGTCACACTTTGTGCACAGGGTTAGAGGGGTAACATTGAAACACCTCGGGTGGGTGGAGAAAATATGACCATCACGCAACTGTGCGGACTGGGCTGGTGAATAACAAGTCCGAGAACTTATGGACTTGTGCAGTGATCATTAACTAACTCACTCACTAACTACCAGTGGTACCTATCCAATCAGAATTAGTTACATATGAAGCCAAACACTTTTATCCAAGAAGACAGGTTTTTTTTAGAAAGTAGG